CTGTCTAGAATTTTCTAAATACTACCAAATCCCTCTGTTGAAAGCTGTTATGCTTAGGTGTCTTGGATTCTCACACAGTCACCATGTTATTTAATCAGCTCTTGGGGTGTGCAGATGATCTTTACAAATGATTAACAGAATCAAATCAAGTGTGAGTGTGTGAGCAGGGTAGTGGTGGTGGTGGGGAATATGTGGTGTTTGATTTATTTTTAAAGAAAGTTCACTCTGTTGTAGACCAAGACAGGTTAAGAGGTAGGTTGGTATGGTCAAGGCAGGTATAATTAAACAAGGCCCAGAGCTCCTGTGGTTTATGTTCAGATGCAAGCCATCGCCTTCAGCTGGAACACCCCCTTTTTAATAAATAGAGTGAAGTTATTGTCCGGTTTGTGTGCATGATTGTCATCGTAACACCTTGGACTTTCCTTCAGTCTAGCTGGAGTGCAACTGTGCCGCCTAAACCATAGAATTTGCAGACAAAAGTTGCCGCTTGGAACTATAGTTATTTATGCTAATTACAGGGTGTCTGACAGAAACATAATAAATGTAGAGGGAGACGTATAGAAATATGTTTCTTCAGGCAGTATACAGTTTTACTCTTTGGGTTCAGGCTTGTTTTCCTGCTGTTCTTTTAATTTACTTCTTTCTGAAATGTTTCCCCCTCCCCTTTTGTTGACCTGTACTTCATATCACACCCCAAACCAAGATAACCTAATATGCCTTGGAGATTAGCACTTAGTGTAATTTAAATATTCCCCTCCCCCCCCCCCCCCCCATTGCCCTGGACAAGCTTCCATCTGTGAATGTTTTTAATGGGATTCGTCTAGTGGAAACCTGAAATTTTGGAAGGACACCATAACACAGTTAAATAAATTGTCCTGGGCTTTAATGGCACGTCGGAATTTATTGTCTATTATCCCCACCTTCGGACACTAAGGAGTCTGGAATCCAAAGTCATAACTTCTAACAAAATTCTTAGCAACAAAGTGGTGTGTGTGCGTGTGGGTGTGCAGGAGCACTTAACCAGGTAAAAACTCCTCTAGAGTAATTTTTAATCTGAATGTTCATTTTATTTACCTGTTCCCCTTTCCTCCCTTCATTTTGGGTTCAATTTAAATATTATGTCCATATAAAGGCACCTTTCGACAAGTCTCATCAGTAATATATTGTTTTGAAAATCCTTTCTGCCCAACGTCTTAAAAAACCCCGAAGAAATATGATATGAAAGTAGCCAAAGAAATCTGGAAAACAAAACAACAGCCAGCTGCATTGCTATGGGATCCGCCAGTAATAGTTTGCTGAAATTGGCCTTTCCTTTTCATTGACTGGCTTTAAAAAGGTAAACATGAAAAATAAAAGACATGTAGGAGATCAGGAGATATTTTCTACTGACTTCAGACAGTCTGCTCTACATTCGTGCAACCCAACCCATTGTATACCTTTTTTTCATAAGAGAAAGGGGGAGGGTGTAAAAGAACAAAAGAAAGAAAAAAATTGGGGAGGCAGAGGAGAGGCGAAAGGAACGAAGGACAAGGAAAAAATATAACAAGAGAAAGAGATGTGGGGTGGGGGATGAACTTTATTCTGCTTAGGGATTAAAATCAAAGCGATAGTCACCGCTGGTGTGTAAATTTGTGCTGTCTGTATGGTTAGTTTCGTTTTGTTTATGAAGAGATAACACAGCACGGCTTCAGATTGCTTCGATGCAGGGTGTGTGTGTGTGTGTGTGTGTGTGCGTGTGTGTGTGTGTGTGTGCAGGGAAAAGTAGATTATTAATACGAACTTGACAGTGTTAATTGAACCAAGTGGAAGCGGGGAATGCGTTTTTGGAGTCGCTGTTTGTCTGCCTGTCAAGGGTAGAGTGTTGTCTGCTAATCCCAAGACCCTCACTGGAGTTTGTCGATCAAACCCCTTCTTGAATGTCTTCCTCTGGTAGCCACAGAGAGTTGCTATTGCTGTTTATAAAGAGCACCGCTTTCATCTTCCACACAGCTTCAGGGTGCAAATCCGTACAGCTGCACGGGAGACCCTGTGTGGAGAGCTGCCTAGTGTTCTTCAGGCCTTGAATTGCCACAAGGAGGTGGTGGGATTTATTTATTTATTTACTTCCAATTGCTGTGGGACTCCAAACTAGCCTTTGATACCGCTAGTTTGTAAAGTTTTTGGTTTTGTTTCTGTTTTTTTTTTTTCTTAAATCGCAGTATCACAGAGCTGAAAAGACACGGCCCTAGGATTTTTTTGCATCTTCTTGAAATCAGAGAAAGATTATCAAAGCGAAACTACAAGACTGAGGGAATAAGGGTCTGCAGTTATGTGCAATCAAAACAGAGAAAGAATGGATTTCTGAAAACTGCACAAGCTTATCTGATTCACACAGAGAGAGAGAGAGAGACAGACACACGACCAAAGTCACTGGAAATAATTTCGCTCCAAGAGGTGTCAAAACTAAATGTGTCAAGACGGTGATCAATAAAATAAACAATGGCGTTTGCTTTTTTTAACGTCACAGTTACAAATCCACCCCCCCCCCCCCCGATTTGATATTGTTTATATTTTGCAGTGATGTGTTGGTTTTGTTAAATGCAAAGAAATTTTTGCTTTCAGAATAATGGGGAGTGGAGGAGGAAGAGATATTAGACAGCCTACATGAGAAATGATCGTTCAGCATCATTTCAGTAGAGGTAATCTTCCATTAAACAAGTAGCGAGATCTTTATGGAAACAGGATCATATCTGCTCAGAGTCTAGCTAGACCGTTCACAAATGTTGCAAGATAACCTTGCTGGTATTGACTGTGTAGCAAACCAGATTTTAATTCTAACGTTCACCTCCGGTTGGAAAGACTACTCCCTAAAATAAGTATATTTCAAAATATGTATTTATTTGCCCTGCATTGCTACTCGACTTTATTCATGAAACCTTACGCTTATCCACGTAGAAGGTTTGATGGAGACAGAAACATAAATGAACATTATTTTACTTCCCTGCAGACTCAGAGTTTTGTTATGCAATTACACAGCTAAATGTTCTGATAATATTATGCTAAGCCCTGTTTTTATTTTACTTTAAGATGAGCTGCCTCTCTCTTGTTTGAACTGGGTAATTTCTCAAAGCATGCTGCTCCTTGAATGAAATAGGCTGGTATTGCAAACGTTATGATTATTTAAAAAAAACCAAACCCTTTGCAGCCCTATGGAGAGTAAACAATTCTATTTAATGAAAGTTTCCGCGTAAATAAAAGAAATCTTGGCCAGCAATGTTTTCCTTTGTGTAACATCAAAAATGCACCATTCACAACTAAATTAGTGACCTTGTCTGCTTGTGTTAAGGTTACAAGAACTGGTTTTACTTATTGAAACCCTGTGTTTTTATAATCCCTGCTCGTTATGTATTTCATATCTTGTATATTTTGTCATTTTTCCCTATAATTTTTTTCACCAGTCCTCCTTTGCACTCACTGTTCTTCTCTATCTGTTCCTCTGTATATAAAGCCCCCCCGCCACTTTCTGCATATATGTCCAAAGACAACCATTCTTTTGTAAGGCTCCATTTACAATAATTCATCCATGTACCAAATACAAGATTCCTTTACACCTCCACGTTTTTACATCACAGCATCTTAGCAATCTTCCATAGTGAGTATTTAACAAAAATGGAAATAGAGAAAGAATGATGAGTATAATTTTCCCCCCATGAACAGAAAAACAACCGTCACTAGAGACTTTTGATTGACAAATAAATTGAACTCAATAGAGGCCAAAGGGGACATTATACTCCTGTAGGAATATTTCCCTTTAAGGACTCACATAAAACATAGCATCTAAAACGGAATGAGAATAAATTCTGAGAGGGAACGAGATGATGACTTCAGATTTCATAGGCTCTGTCCGAATTTGGATTTTCATACACACACAGACATCAATTTCTATTTAAAGTAGTCCCTTGATAGAATTAAATACATTTCTAACAGAAACTAGGACAGACTCGTGCATATTTACTAAGAACTTTGAAATTAAGATGCAGTCTTACTCTTTTCTCAGCTGAAACATGGGCTGTAAGTTTCTAGGGGCTGGGGGCTTTTTTAGCAACATCACATATTAATGCATATTTAGGCATGTATCTGTAGCCATCTGCTTTTTCTTCATGCTCGAATTTCCTATGTTACATACTGGGGGGAAAAGCATTCATGTCATGTGTGTTCAGGGGACTTACATACACTGTCCATAATGTATGTCACTGGTGCATACTGCATCACTAACGGGCATATGCCCCTGTCTTTCTCTCTTTCTCTATCTCTCCTTGTCTATCTGTCTCGCTCTGCGAGAAACCACCATAACCTTCTGAGCCTCCACTTTTCTTGTTCTTGCACAATTTTGAGCATTCACCTTCATCCTACTCCAGTTACTATGAAATTCGAAGTTATGAATTGCCCTTCACAGCACGAGATAATCCACATTTTTTAAGAGAGGTTATTCTGTGTAGGTTATTCTTTTCCTCCTCTTCCAGAGAAATCCACTAACTCCATTCTTTCAGAATCCAATGGGCGTGATCTATTTACCTACCTGACTTTCTCTACGAAGGGAAGGTTATTTCTTTCAAAATTCAGCCCGAATGTTAAGAATTAAAAACAAAAATCAGAACCCAAGCTATTTCAATCGATTTGGTAAAAAAAAAGTTTCCATACATTAAAATAATAATATTAATAAGTGTCAAGTGTACATTGTTGCTTGCTGTAAATATTCAGAAGGTTTCCCCTTTCCCAGCTACGCCTTATAGCTGAAACTCACTCTTCCAGTTTTATTTAATGAACGACACATTTATGAACAATCAAATGATCCTCGTAAAAATTTTATTGAAGGACATAAAAACATCCTTGGCTACTAGCCGAATAATTCAGAGAGGGTCTGCAAAAGCTGTCTTTTTTGGGGAGGGGGTGGTGGTGGTGTTATTATTTCCCACTCATGTTTTACAAGCTTATCCTTTCCACTCCAGGAGACAGTTATTAAAAAATAGATATGCATGATGTGACCAACAGATTTCTTGCCCTAAAGCAGGCTTGACGACTGTACTTCCCTGTAACAGATGACAAAAAGTCCATTTATTTTTAGGCTAAAAGAGCCTAAAATCAGATCCTTCCTTGGGTGATACTGAAGTATGATGGGAAGCATACCTCTATTACACTTTGAACCAGTCCCTTTTTACTGATATTCAATTTAATGTATCCACTATGGAATACAAGCTGCAGAAGGAAAGGACAGACAGAGACAAATTACGTCAAGAAATAGTGCCTGGGATACCTTACACACACATACCTTATAGGCTCACTAGCAGGGCAGCTTTTTATGCCAGACATAGCCACCTCTGGCTAATGAAATGCAAGAGGCATTGCTTCTAATGTCTGCATTATTTCAAGAGTTTTATGAAAAGCCAGGTCGCACAGTCTCTATTAAAAAAAAAAAAAAAAAGACCTGCGGATTGATCCACACTGTATTTTTGGGTAAATACAATCACGTGAGAGCTGAGAGCCAATAGCAAACTGGGAAAGGCTGAAAAAATAATTACCTGCCCTGATTGTTCTATGAGAAGATAAAAAGTACACATACAGTTCATACAATAATCTTATGAATGTAAAAGAGGGGGGAACATGTCGGCTTCTGGTCCCATAAGCAACTATTATGTAGATTCCTTGATAAGTCATGAAAATGAAGAGCTCTTGGCATCAAGGTTCCCAGCCACTGGCTCTCACCCTGCAGCAGCTAGACCTTCAGGATTAGTACCGGACTGTGCCGATTTTCCATCCTGCAGTTTTGCCCCTAAACCGGCCGTTTTTACTACTTCATGGGCTCCCGTGCATTCTCAGTCTTCTGTGGTTTACCATCCGTATACCCACCAGCCTCACATTGGGGCTGACACCAGGTATATGCGCACTTGGTTGGAACCCATCTCAGGCGCGGTGTCCTTCCCTGGCTTCCCACCCAGCAGCAGGCATTACGGGCTCAAGCCGGACGCTTTCCCCGGCCGAAGGGCGGAATGTGGCCCGGTGGACGGGCGTAGTTATCCGGATTACATGTACGGATCCCCGGGTGATCTCAGAGACCGAACTCCGCAGACTATACCCTCTCCGGAATCGGAGGCAGTCGCTTCGAGCAAACACAAAGAAGAAAAGAACGAATTAGACCCTAGTAAGTTGAAGTCATTCTTGTTTACAACCGGGGAGGCATTACAGCCTCTAGTACAGTACTCAATAAAATGAAATTACCTTAGAGGGCCCTGTCCTAAAACTCCAGATATACAGGAAGACCCGGGTTTAAAAATCCCCCTAGTCTAATCTCAGGACAAAGTAGTTTCATTTTCATTTTATTTAAAAAAGAGAGTGGGGGGGTGGGAATCTATTTGTTTCTTTGGTCAAATATTCATAACCCAGCCTCCCCACCAAAGCTCCTGCCTTTCAGATATTTCCCCTTTCAGTCAAGAAGAGTCCCTTCTAGTTGAGAGTTGATTCAGTGATTTGGGTGTGGGGGTAGGGGAGAAAAACACCCAGGAATAAACAGAGAGAGGTATATACGTGTCTTTAAAAATACCCACCTATGTAATTATTCATAAAATACTCCCAACATGTGGGAATAAACGGAAAGGTGGTTGCCCTGAGAAAAGTGTTAAGGAGTGTGGATTATGGGAGGTAAAGGCAGAAAGAATCTATGGGGCGATAAAATCGAAAAGCAGCTTTAGGCAGGATATTGGACTGAACACTTGAAAAAAAGCCCATCTTCTTTAGTGCAAAAACTTGAGCACTATGGGGGATCTGATTAGCCCCTTGCACCATTACAGATGTAACCGGTCTTTTCCACTCTAAAATGTTCATCTCAGAATGACCATATGTCTCTGAAATGCAGACAGTTGCTTCTGACAGTATAGTGTGTGCATAGAGGCAATGCACAGAGAGCAAAATAAAGTGTGATTTCAAATCTGGTGGAACTAGAATAAACGTCCAGTTGTGTCTGTGTGAGTGTGTATGCCTGTACACACAAACATGCGCGCACACACACACACACACACATACACACACACATACACAAGCATGCCATGTGTTTATTAAGACTTCTGGCCTAACAATCTGATGAAATGGTGATTTATAAATTATAAATGGTGAGTCTGTGGGTGTCGGTGTATCCCCATATGTATCTCTATATGTATGCATACATAGGGATAAGTATCCATATATGACTATATAAAGTAGATCTGTGATAAAACAAGTAGTAGGATCAGGGAAAACATTCTCCTTTGCTGGTAGATGGCTCTATAAAACGCCTACAGTTGGATCAAGGAGATGATTCTAACGATAAAACAGTGTAATTTTTTCGTTCTAACAAAGTAGGGATGATGGGGCAGCAAAGAGAAAGGTCTTTTAGGCTTGAAGACTGTATTTTTGGAGACAATGAATTTATTCTGTGGCATCCTCCAGATATTAAAAAAAAATAAGCTAGTCATTCTAGGACTAGTATGGTTATAGAGAAGGTATTGGAGAGCAGAGGTTGTAAAGAGAGTTTATGGGCCTATAAAATGGTGGGAATTTTTACTTTTTATGACTATGTTCTTAGATTACTCCTGCTAGGGGATGATTATTATTTTAAACCCATTGCTACGGTTTTATTTACTGAAACTTTTATCTGAGAGCAATAGTAAAAGGAAAGGAAATGGCCCCCTTCCAAAAATAAACACATTAATGCCTTCTGAGGGTTACTTTAAAATATTTACCTGCTAATTTCCTAATTAAACACGTTTATTTTGGAAAAATAATAATCTGGGTGTGAGGAGAGGGGAAGCCAGCTGTTGAAATTAATGATTTTTTTTTAAAAAAAAAAACTTCTTTCCCAGGCAATCCCGTCGCAAATTGGATTCACGCACGTTCCACAAGGAAGAAAAGATGTCCTTATACAAAGTATCAGACCCTGGAACTGGAAAAAGAGTTTTTATTCAATATGTACCTCACACGGGACCGGAGGTACGAAGTAGCCAGAGTTCTTAATCTCACTGAACGCCAAGTCAAAATCTGGTTTCAGAACAGGAGAATGAAAATGAAGAAAATGAATAAAGAAAAAACCGATAAAGAACAGCAGTAAAGTTGGCAAAGTCAAATCAATGCAAGAGAAAGGAGGAGAAGGGAGGGAGGAAGGGAAAGCTGTTTCTTTGGTTCGAAATGTTTCTGACTTTGAATGTGCTGATCAGTGTTTAGATTTAGTTAAACACAGCCAAGCGTTTGGGAGCACCATGCTTTTATAAAATGCAACTAAAATAAAATGATTTTTTTTTGTCCTTTTCGGGAAAACAAAACAGAAAAGTACTTGAATTTTTTTTTAATTTTTTTTTTAGTATTTTATTTCGTAAGTTAAACTTATCCAGTGTTTTATTTTTTTAATTTCATGACTTTGTGAGTGCATATTTTGTACAAAAGAAAATGAGAAAAAAAGGCTCAAAAGTGTTCTGTCATAGTGTTGGTCTGGTGTACTTATTTGTGTATTTTATTCCTGTCTCAGACCCGTTCTGTAATATTGTTATGTTTGCTATAGTAGAACAGCTCTATGTAAATATATACTTAACGTTACAAAAAAAGAAGGAAAAAAAAAACCCTTATCATGCAGGTGTCTTTTATTTAAACTCCACTTGAGAAACAGACAGAGTTTATTTTGCAATGGTATTCAAAGCTGTGTTGGGATTCTTAAAGGAGACACCCTCCTTGTACCAGTGAATTTAGCACTGATAAAATCGCAGTCTGTTGAAATGGAATTTGAAATATACCTTATTACAGGAAGCAAATGAAGATGGGTGGAAAGAAAGGACGCTGTTTCCGCTCACAACATTTTGTATTTAATAGTATAATCATAAAATGCGTTTAGGTAAGGGTTATACGTGCCATAAATTTTTAGGTTTGGATAATTAATTGTAGTAATTTATGACCAGGCAATCGAAGTATATGTAAAAGATTAAATATGTATGCTGGGAAAGGGCGCTTGCGGCAACATTCCTCTGTCTGACATCCGCCTATATAGCAACTGCTCTGCATTATCAATGGGATGCCAAGACTTGTAGGTTTCTTCAGCTCCTTGCACCTCAGAGGACGTTACTTTGCAAAATAAAATATAATCGATTGGGGAGGAATGTTTAAAAAAAAGCAAGAAAAAAGAAAACAAGAAAATGTGTGTGGGGAGAGAAATTTTCGGTCTCAAGGAAATAGGTTTGTTTTTTTTCCCTCACCCTCCCGCCTCCCTTTCTTTCTGTACAGAGGTCTGGATTGTCTGCTGTGGTAGGTAGAGACCAATTCCACCAGTCTCAAATGGGTAGGAAGTTTCTGTTGTTGTCGTGGTTTGTGACCATTTTAAGTGGCCCAGATGGGCGAGAACAGGCTGTCACAATGCATTTTTAGCTTGAGATATAAATTGATGGGTGCTCAGAGGCTGCTCAGTGAGAGACAAGAGGGGGAGAGAAAGTATAAAAATGATCAGCGAGGGATGCTTAATCATCAAAACTTGTTATAAGGTGCCTTTCTTTAATGAAATGAGGAGAGCAGGGTTCTAATCTTTCTAATCAAAATCAAAGCGAGGTAGTAGGACATGCTTGTCCCCTTGGCTTCTCAGCCTTCTCCGAAATAAAAAACCTGGAAGTCATTACCCACTGATCTTTATAAAATATTGCCCTTTCATATTTCTTTCTTAACGTTTTGAGGTTTCTCTCCCCTTTATTGATTTGTACTCTCGCTTTTATGGCATCGTGGTTTTTTTCTTTTTTTCTTTTTTAAGGTGGTATGGTATGGGTCAGTCTGAGCATCATCCTGGCACCAGAGGAAGCTCAAAGCTCAGTTCAGTCAGAGCCCAAGTCCCCTGCTTTTTATGTTTGAAACGTCTTAAGGAGCCCACTGAAATGTGCAGGTTAAAAAGCATTTTAGCAGGGCCAAGAATGATGGACAAAAACAAAACAAAACAAAACAAAAAACCACCACCAACAACCAAAACTGAATCCAACCCAACCCAGAATAATCCTGTCATTTCGTGTATTTTTCTCTGTCTTCTCCCCTTCTAAATCCCTCCGCGTAAACTCCATTAAAAAACAACCACAACAACAAAAACACTGTTCGGATTTCAAAATGGATTGGCCACCTCATATCTGCAATGGAGAAAGTTCACCACTTTTATTGGAAAAGTTCTCACTTTGGATGGAACTTTTCAATCAGCTTCGGGCCCCCCTCTCTGGTGGCTATGTAATGAAACGCTTTTATTAACGTTGAAAAGAAATGATCCATGCGTCTCAGTTCTGAACCCCCCCATTCAACCAGATCTCATTTCCTAAGAGACCATAGGTCGCTTACCCTCCCCCAGCCCATCCTGCAGTCTTTACTCTCGCACAAGTCCCATTGGAGCTTATGGGCACGAAGGGATATGGCCCCTTTTGTCTCCGTCGAGGGTTTTCTTTGTTGATGATGGGTTGTTTTGTTTTAAATCCTGCTGCAGTTACAGTTCATGTGCAAGGCTCTTAACTGCAGAGTTGCCCCATAATTTTAAGTGTCATTTGGCTGCTGGTTGATAGTGGGGAATAATAACTGAGCAGGCATTGAAATGATCTGCCATTGGAGAGCCTTAATCTTTCGATAAGAAAAAGAAAAGATGCAACGTGACTTTCAAAAGAGAGAGAGAGAGAGAGAGAGAGAGAGAGAGAGAGAGAGAGAGAGAGAGAGAGAGAGATGCACATTTTCAGAACCTTGCGGTGAGTATTGCTGGTCATGAATGTAACAATAATACTCAAATGGAGGATCTTCCTTGGGCATATGGTTTGCATCTCTGTGTATATATTTTCCTGCTTCGTTTAAAAATGGCCCTTTTGTAAAGCACACAAAAAAGACAGGATACTACAGCTGTGAAAGCTGTCCATAGGTACATTTCCGCAGGGAAAAAAAAGCCAGTTTTACAACTCTGTTTGTCTCACTGTTATGTGTGCTGAATAGAATTGAACAAAACAGGACCACAGAACTGGCTAGACGTCTGGGTTTAATTGTTTTATGGTTTAAATAAGGTGGGTGCTTTTCTCTTTGAAACCAGATTATTGGAATGTTTTGTCTACAGACTACAAACAACAGACCCCCTTGGCTCAGGGGGGAAAAATACCACCCTAAATTAAAACTGATAAAAGCACTGAAGGTTGAAGGAGAGATGGTACGCTGTTGCGTTTGTTTGTCAGTGTGTACACACGTCATGATTTTTATGCGTTCCTTAGCAGAAAAAGAAGGAACAGAAATAATTTGTGCAAAAGTACTGCCTTCTTGTCTATGAAGAAACAATCACTATCTCATTTTATCTCTAAGGCGTCATATCAAGCTATCTGGGAAATCAGTAACTCGTGTAATTATTGGTTATAAAATGCCTCCTGATAAGCTCAGAATACCCATAGCCACTTCACAGTTTAGTAAATCATACAGTTTTCTTTGGCTTTCTTTTAGATTTAATCTGATTTAGATGCTTGAAGAAACCGCTCCTTTCCCTTTTTGACAGAGGGGATCTCTCTCTCTCCCTCTCTCTCTCTCTCTCTCTCTCTCGAGTAAAGAAAACGCAAGATGGCGCTGTTGTTCAATATTAGAAGTCTTTTGGCCCATTAAGTTACAACGCATCCTATTACACCTTTAGGCCTCTAAAAGGTTGTAAGAAAAACAAATCAAAACAAATATGTATAAATTCCCTCACCTATGACTTGTAAATTAGCATATAATGTGTATCGGAAAAGCAAACACATTAGAAACTGTCAAGATGGTAGCACAGCTCTGAGTCTTAGGTAAAATAGTCTTTCAATAAATAGATTTTTTTAAAAAAAATATCGGTTAATTATATCTGATGAGACACAGAGCCCCTCAGTCCAGCAGCAACCAGTAAATATATAAAATGCTTGCGGAGAAAGCTGTTTTGTTGAAGTCTTTTTCTTTATTAGAGCCAACACAAGTTACACCTTTTCAAGAATATGTTTCTGAAAAAAAAAATGAAGCCGTAACATTTTTTTGGCAGTAAGATCAGAACATTAAAAATAACTCACACCCATGACAAATACAGTGAAAATATATAGAATCCTACAATACAGACAAATTTATAAAGCTACATTCCGAAGGGTGGAGGCACACACACACACACACACACACACACACACCCCAAAAAAACTGTAGACAAAGAAGAGCACTTTCCCTGGACCGTAAATGTCAAGATATTTTAAAGAAGCACTGAGAGTTGCACATAACTGATTTAATGAGAGTGCTTTTTGCATGGACCTTGAAGGTAAACATTTATTGTTAAGCCCTCATAGGGCGCGATAAATAGTCTGCATTATTTACTGTATCTTTAGGTATCACACAAATGCACATGCGGCTAAAAATGCAGCTAATGTTTCAGTCACATCATTTAATTTCAGGAAGAGACTATCCGAATTCTCAGTCATCAAATATAAATCCACCGCCATGTACAGAATGTTTAGTTGTTGGGTATTTAAAAGTAGGAATTACGTTGATCATATCCCTGTAAAATGGTCACATTGACTATCAGCTGCTAATTAAGGCATTTATATCCCCAGGTGCTTATTTCCCCCTTTAAATTGTTTTTAGGGGTTTAATGAGACATAACATTTTCTCATGTAAAATTCGACATGCTAATTCTACCCTGTTTATAATTATTTTTAATTTGTGGGTAATATTTGCTCACCGTACACGTATCTTTTCATTTCAGTAATAACCTAAGACATGGTTGGAAAATTGCTCTTCATATATGTGTGTGTGTGTGTGTGTGTGTATTTGAAAAAAAAACACTACAAATCCCTATTTCTGAAGCTTTTGAAAGAGAAAATACAATAATTTGTTTTATTTGGGGACACCTAATAGACATGGGAAAGGTTGTTTTGTTTTCTCCCTCCTGAAAAGATGTCTACTTAAAAAAAAGAACACACCTAAATGACAGTCTCGCCAGTTATTTTAACTAGTTCATGCCACTAAAATGAAGAATTGGAACCCTGGAAATATCTTCCTAAGTTTGGGTTAAAATGTATTTCACTCTTCCACACTTCAGAACAGTTGGCATTTCTTAGGTCTTTTCTGAAATTAATTAACTTGCATTTTCAGAAAGAACATAGGGGGAAAATTTGAAGCAATCGCTGGAAATATTTGAAGGGAAAACGCTGACAGTTAATATCACGCCATAATTTATAGATGTGACTTTGATTTTTTTCACTTTTAAAAAGCTGCAGAACAGCACAGGAAAGATTAATTTGCAGCCCTTTTTTCCCTCAAAATTTTAAGAGGAAGACCGCTGGCTTATGCTATATTTAATGGTCTGAGTTCCTTAATGCTGTCGTAAAATGAAGTGTCTCAAGTGAAAGGTTTCAATGAATGGTCATTCACAGTGAAGAGAAACTAGAGGGGGAAATAGGTGCTTTAGCAGCATCTGTAAAATTAAAACATGGAAACAACTGTCTGTGATTTAGAAACATGTCGATTTTTAAAGGCAACCCTAACCACACACAGACACACAGATACACACGCAGAGATACCCATACAAAAGAGAGTTCGTACTTTCTGTCCCATTTTCCCTCTCTTTCTTCAAAAGTAGCTTTCTTAAATGCATTGTTTACTTTATTTCCTTGAAATGATGCTTTCCTGTTATTTTCAGCGCTGGGTTTTCAATGGTTGGTCCAAAAGGAAGAGGGAAAAAAAAATCCCAGACTCTTCATTCATTTATTTATTTATTTTTAAAATAGGACAACAATAACCAACCAATCAAACCAATTGTCTCCTATAGGGGCAGCTTCTCTTTTTGTTGTGTTTGTTTGTTTGTTCCATTTCGATTTTTCAACAACAACAACAACAACAAACAACAACAAAAATCGGAAGAAGGGATGCCACGAGCTGAATAGGCTGCCGACTCATAACCCTACAGGCGTAGAGTCAGAAGAGAAGAGACGAAAACCTCACTGTAAATGCGTAACCAACACTCAGTTGGTTTCCTGTTTGTCTTTAAACCCCATCAAAATATCGCCACGAAAATAATATTTCTATTGACACCGAATTGGTCTGGCTGGCGTTTCTTTTACCTGTTGAGGTTACCTAAATTGACCTCGCTGGCGCATGTATTTGCTGAGATAAGTGAAGAGGCTCGCTTGCAAAAAATCACCTAAGGATATTAATGCGCACCTTTCATAACCCTCCTTCATTCATTAGATATGTTTTCCCCCTTCCCTTCTGAAGGCTGGTTTTTCCACGTACCCTTCACCCCCTTCAAGACCCCCCAAATCCTTGTCATTTTCTTTCTAGCCTGTCTTGGTGTGGAAGAGTGATGAGTACAAATCGCGTGTGAAAGCGCCACACCATCGGGATTTTGAGGAATTTGCCTATGGTGTTAAAGGGAAGGAGCAACTTACAGACAAACTGAGAGAGAGCTCTACCTACCGACAGATACAAGAGAAGTCAAGAGCATTAAGAGGCATAAAGCAGCCGTATACACACTCAGGCACTATGAAACGTCTTTGAGAGCTCATTAAAAAAAAAAAAAAAAAAACCACAAAACTCAGGACTTTATACAGTCCAGGGAGAGCCTAGCACTAATCTCTTAGAATTAAAGACTTTTTTTTTCATGCGAAAGTCATGAGTTCCTACTTTGTAAATCCTCTTTTTTCCAAGTACAAAGGCGGTGAATCGCTGGAACCAACTTACTACGACTGCAGATTTCCACAAAGTGTAAGCAGGAGCCATGCTCTGGTTTATGGTCCGGGCGCTACCGCTCCCAGCTTCCAACACCCTTCACACCATGTCCAAGAGTTTTTCCACCACGGAACCTCCAGCATCTCTAACTCTGGATACCAGCAAAACCCATGCGCCTTGGCGTGTCACGGAGACGCGTCTAAATTCTATGGATATGAAGCTCTACCAAGGCAGTCGCTTTATGGTGCCCAGCAAGAGGCGACCGTTGTACAATATCCTGACTGTAAATCGTCTTCCAACAGTAACTCTAGCGAGGGACAAGGCCATTTAAATCAAAATTCGTCTCCCAGTCTCATGTTCCCATGGATGAGACCACACGGTTAGGACATTTTTTTTACTCTCCTCCTTTAACTGTTTTTCTTTATTTTATATCTTTATATATATATATATATATATATATATATATATATATATATATATATATATGTGTGAAAAAAGATAGGCATGGCTGTAAAGTCTGAAAGAAATGAGCAATTTTTAATAATATTTCTTCTTCCTAGGAAGTCCTTTGAAATCAGACAAGCCAGCAGTAACTAGAGAGACAGCAAGGTGATAATACTGTGCAAAGGTTTTAAATCACAATAAAGTAAAACTTGTTTTTTATTGCTTGCCTTGAGGATAGGCAATAAGATACAGCTCCCACGAGGTTATTTGCATGTTGATAATACACTGCTCTTTAAAATGTCATATAGCCTTTCTTAACCGCTTGGAGACTTAGGCTAAAAGGTAGGAACTTGCATAAGGGAATTATTCATACTTTACATAAGTATGTTTATATATATATATGTATATGTGTGTGTGTGTGTGTGTGTGTGTTTGTAAAGCATTACACATATATATGTATATATGTAAAGTATTACTCTCTATATATCTATATATAGCTAGATCTATATATCTAGCTAGATCTATCTATCTTTATATATAATTAAATAAAAGTTAAACTTAAAGGGGAACTTAGTTCAGAGCTGGGTGGGGTGGAGGGAACATTCTACTGTCCTGGACAGGAAAAGATAAAGAGAGAAAGGAAAATGGACTTAACAGAACTTTGTTTGACGAAGTAAACTGCAACCATTCCTCATTTGCACAAAATCCTAAATACTTCAAAGAACAAGTTTCTCTCCCCTAGCCTCCAGGTTGTATATAATACTTGTTAATTCAAAACATATGAAGGTTAGACTACCGAGTGCTAATTTTAAAGGACAATCTAAGAAATAAAGTTTCCCCCAGCCCTCAAGAAGACCCACTTGCCTTGTAAAAGCTTATAGGCTTTGGCCCAGAAAAGGCTTAAATTAGACATAAAGGGGGAAAACGTTATTTATCAAAGCTTTGATTTACAGGTAAACACATGTCATAATTTTGAGCTACAAGATATTTTAGCAAATCTATTATTTTTTCTCACCGAGTAAGTACTATGGAGAAGGGAGAGTAAGGAGTCAGATTCAGATACATAAGCCCTTATTATGTTATTGTTTTAAATGTCTATTTATGTAGCTGTTTTCAATACACTTCCTGTGTATGTATATACATATACATATGTACTCATCTCTATATGTGTATACACACACACACATTGATAATACAATCACACAAGGGAGAGGTAACTTATCCAACAAAAATGCAGGTCCTTAGGGCTCAAAAATATTAGGAAGCTGTGAACATATATTTAGTGAGCTACATTTGCAAAAGGAAACCACAGTTAGACATTTTGCAGAAGAGGAGTGGGCTGGGGGAGGTTGGATTAGTAATAATAATATAGTTAGAAAATTAAATAGCTTGTTTCATTTGATTTAACACCACAGCTAAAATCCATCAAATATTAGGAAGCTGGGAGGATATATTTTATGAATTACTTTTGCAAAGGGAAACAAGAGGTGGATATTTTGCAGAAGAAGGGTCTGGGGTGGGAGGGAGCATGGTTAGGGTTTATTATTGTTACTACTGCTACTATTATTATTGTTGTTATGAAAAATAAACAGTTTGTTTTATTTCGGTTTAATACCACGAGGGGCTGCAGGCATAGAGAAGGGAAGACCACCAGTGTCTCTAGGAAAGATCAGGCAAGGAGTTAAAAAAAAAAAAAAGCACAAGGAGAGATCTAACAAGTTATGTTGTTTGTGTTCTATAGCTCCCGGAAGGCGCAGTGGCAGGCAGACTTACAGCCGGTATCAGACCCTGGAGCTAGAAAAAGAGTTCCTCTTCAACCCTTATTTGACACGGAAGCGGCGGATTGAGGTCTCTCACGCCCTGGGACTGACGGAGAGGCAAGTGAAGATATGGTTCCAAAACAGGAGAATGAAATGGAAAAAAGAAAACAACAAAGACAAGCTCCCGGGGGCCAGGGACGAAGAGAAAACCGAGGAAGAAGGGAATGAAGAAGAGGAAAAAGAAGAGGAGGAAAAAGAAGAAAGCAAGGACTGATTTCTCAGCTCCTTGAAGTCTCGTTTTATGGCAGATGATAAATCGAGATGTTTACGACGGTCATTTGCTTTTATAGAGTATAGAATGGAGAGCCTCACACAGCAGTAACTACCTGTCAAAGAGTTCTAGCCTTTTTTATTGTCATAGAACAACTTCCCCTACTTTTTTCTATATATATATATATATATATATATATATATATATATATAGCGGCATTTTTGGTTTCATAAATATATAGTTGGCTTTACTACAACAACAGGAGGGGGGAAAAACAACACAAAACAATCATTGAAGCAAATGCCACATCTCCAAACAGTAGATTCTCCCCTACTCCCACTTCTATCTGTCTAGATAAAGATATATAGATAGATATATAAATGTATGCATCTTATGTATTCGTTTTAATAGGTTTGAATAGTATTTCTTCTCTACCTTGGTTTTCCCCATTCATGATCCAAGGGGAAGTATGATATTGCTTTCTGCTAGTCTTAGCTTTTTAAAAATATCTATATATCTACGTATCTTCAGTGCTAATACCCAGTTATCATTTAACTTTTAGCTGCCTGTCTGAATTGGAAGATTGGAGGATGACCATAGGTGATACCACGCACATATTAGCTATATATGACTATATCTGTATGTAGATAATACCTATACGCCTATGTCTCGGTAGGCCAAAACATGAAGGCTAAGAGCCTAACATTTCATGATTTATATAGGCACTGTTTACCATTTCACTGTGTGAGCACTCGAAATTCTTAATATACTACCTAAAGGGAAACCTGCAATAATAATCAAATCTATTATCAACAAGGGGCTTACATATCCTAAATTTTACTTGGTCAGAATTTATTAAAGGAAAAGAGCGAGCGAGCTGCGTTTTGCCCTGATGCAAGCTACTAAGTAGCATAAAATAAAATGATAATAATAAAAAAAACTTGTAATGTACTTTTCACTACCTATAGAAGGAGTCATGCTTTCAAAGTATTTGTAATGCGGTTTTGTTGTATTTGTTGCTGCTTATTTTCTTGGAAAAAATTTCCCAACAACTGAAACTGCCTAGTTGAGAACGCACAGTATTGTATTATTTTATTGTGCTTATAAAGTAGTGTAGAACTAAATTGCACTGAATGTATAGTTATCTATTTGTCTTGACTTATCTGTTAATGCAACATGCTCGAAAAAAAAAGTCATTTGTTTTATGTAAAAGCATAGTTCTGCGTGTTCAAACTCTGAATGTAGCAATTTCTGCCAGAAGCCAATTTCTGGACACCGTGGATTTGTATTGTATACGTGAGACATTACGTAAATAAATAAATAAATAATAATAATTAAAAAAAGATTTTAAAAGGTCTGAGTTGCGTAAATTGTTATGCATAAATTTTAAACCATTCATCCACACACACACGCAGTTAGGAGATGCCAATGAGTCCCAAGTAATATTTCATAGATTCAAGTTACTGGTCGCCATGCTAGCATAGTTCAAAACCAAGAGCCATCTTTAAGTTGCAAGAAAATCAGGATGTCTGACTCTTGGCACAGCTACAATAAATGTGGGTAATTAGACATGGTGAATAAGCCAGGGGGCAAATAAAACCTGGTATTATCATTACCAATGCAGTATTGTTTACTGATATGTAGTCTTAGTGGTTTTTTAAAACTCCATTTTCAAGTTGCAAGCTTCCAGACATATTCATTGTTAAAATTCTTCTCTTGGTATGAAACATGCCTACGCATGTCCACCTTCCTTGGGGTGGATTTGGGAGGGGGGGGGCAGAGAGAGAGGGAGAGGGGGAGAGAGAGAACAATGTATTAAATGTAAATATCTTTATTTTACTTTCCTCACCTGGGAACTTCTACTGAGAGGTCTCAAACGTGTAACATTCTGGTCTTCCATAGCTCTAAAGTGCAGCAAACCCATCACTCTTTCTTTCTTTCCTCAAAATGAGGTTACAATAACCCAGAAGATTCAGAATTTCTCATGTCATATGTATGTGCAATTTGCTACTTGCAAGCGATCGTTATAAAGCGATTGAGAGATTGGAAAGAGATTATGTATACATTAAAACGTGTTTTAACTACGTTGTGGAGATATTCACAAGCCATACTTGGACTATATGAGAATATAGTTAACTAAGAGAAACCCTCATAAGCATCTTACCAAGAAAACTGTCATGAAAGCAATGAATAGCTTTTTTCAGATGCAAAATCAGAAATTCTTTTTATGAATCAATACATAAATCCCAGTTATCGCTCTTGCACCTGAAGATCTCTAAGTGACACGACACTGAATCTCTTCCAATAAAACCTGAATGTGATGGCTTCAGTTCTTCCCTTTGTAAAATAGGAATATTATAAATATGCCACCCACCATCATTTTGTTAAACCATATATGCTGATCTTGTAAATATTTATTTTTTTCTTTTCTGTTGATAAATGGACTACATCATATAGGAGTAGTGGATATAAAAGTGGCGGGTTGTTTACAACGAAAGTATAGATAAGAAAGCACAAGATTCCTAAGATACATCCTGATGCCCTGAACTATGTCTGGAGAAGAGACTGGGGTTGGGACATTCTTAACCCAAAACACCAAGCTTAAAGGATTTAAATGCCTCAAATAATTGAAAATGTTGGATACTGCTCAGGAAGAGTATACAACGAGGAAGAACTAGTTTATAACATATTAAATCGACACTGATATGTATATCCATACACCCCCACAACCCCACAATTCCCACACCCCCATATACATAATGCAAATGTATATGCAATATGACGATGTATAAGTGTAATTCTAGATTTCTAGTACCGTTTATATGTGTGTGCATATACAAATGCTCAAACACACACACACAATGCATATGCATATGGAATATGAATGTGTGTATGTTTCATTCTAGAAACCTAGTGCAGCTTGTATGTTGTGCATGTATTCACGTTCAAAACACAAACACAAACAATGCCTATGCATATGGAACATGGATGTGTGTATGTCTCATTCTAGAATTCTAATGCAGATTGTATGTGTGCCTATTATTCATGTTCAAAATACAAACACAAAATGTATTTGCATATGCAATAAGAATGTGTCCATGTAGAATTCTAGTGCAGATGGGGGGGATAGGAATATCTATCTATCTATCTAACTATCTATCTATCTATCTATCGAATTCTAAGTATACTCTCCCTCCACTCCCGAATTCTAGAATTATACACAAGCACACACACACTTCTATGTTATTGTGCATTCTAGAGTGGACATATATGCTCATGCACTCATTTTCTCCACGAAAGGGCTAAAAATAATAAGGATCACTGTAGAGTTTTCCATTTCGAATGTAGACACTTAAGGTAAACTGTTTTATTAGGCATAGAATAGGCTGGTTTATTTTAGCAGAGGTATAACCTTCAGGGTTATTCATGCCATTTACAACACCGAAGTTTTCTTCCTCTTGCTTCAATAAAATGGATCTATGCTCTTCACACCTTCCACAGCAATGTTAAGGAGCCTTTGCAGGCAGCAGCTTGCGCTATTACTGAACTTTTTTTGTTTTGTTTTGTTTAAGGTCTTGTCGAACCCATACTCTTTTTAGAGAGGTTCAAAGAAGAAAGATAACTTATCAAACTGTTCTGTTCAAAAATTTTTAAAAAGTTGTATGCGCAGTCTATCCATCATATTTAAATCCACATCTCTAAGTAGTTTTATATGAACGAATACCACATAGCGACACTCATCTATCAAACGGTTAGGAGTTAAATTATTGAAACTTCAAGTGAAGCAGTAACTTTTGGGGTGAATGTTTATGCTGTCTAGTCAACACAACAAAGTCGCATCTTCATTTGACATCCGGTTATTTTTGTAATCATCCACCATTTCAAGAGAAAAAGAGAAAAGAGGATTTTATGGGGTAAAGTAATTTGAAAGAAGATATGCTGTTCACAAAGTGGCTTATTCAGAAACGATCATTGCTTCAGTATTACTGAAATTAGTCTCATCTACCCGCCTGAAGTGAGAAATATCCTATTTCACGCTTTTTATTAGCCAATCAAATTTCCTTCGGATCTCCATTTGTGATTTGTGAAAAATGTAATTCCTTAAAAAACTGAGTTTGAGCATATTGCTCATTTTGCCTTAATTTATTATTCTAATCATAGCAGCAGCTACACGACAATGCAGCCATTAGGCTAAAAAATTCGTTTAGATTTTATACTCGAAATGGGCACAGATTATATTTTAGAGACAACGAATTTCTCGGGCATTTATTTTATTTTATTTTATTTTTATTTTTTGCACTGCATGCAGATAGGCTGGAGGATGGGTTGAAAAAGACGAGGATGAACACGGAAACTTTGAAAAACAAAACTTGGAAAGAAATGAATCCTTCCACATTTTCTAGCTGTTATATTCCCCTCCCCCTTCCTAGATTTGATCCTCTTGTTACCTTTTCCAAAGGGGGTGGGGAGGGAAAATTATTTCTCGAATATTTAATTCAAGGAAAGAAGCGACAGGCTATTTTCCTAGACAAGGCTGTTGGATAAAGGGAATGAGAATTAAATACTGAAGTCATGGGCCCTAATGTTTCAAGTGCGGGGAAAAACGTGTCGGACAGGTTACCTCTGACTTGCAGGGCTAAAATTTCCTGTTCACTATATGGATTCTATTCTCTGGTTTACTCGTTGGAAAATGAGGAGTCCATTGTGTTCTTAGAGCTGCTGCGGTGGTTGCTTCCCCCTCGTAACTTTTAACTACCTGTTATAAAATTTATTGGTGGTTTGTAAAGTGAATAAAGTAATTTCCCTTCCATCCGGTTGTATTACAACCTTTGTGTTGTTCTGATAGACAGACAGACAGACAGACAGACACACTTAGCCCCCACCCCACCCCCCAAAAAAGCAAGCAAACCAGAAGTACCTGCAGAATTGAACTCTGGAAATAGGGGAACATGGTATGAAAATGCCTGACAAATGACTGAGTTCAGTTATTGCGACAAAGTGTATTTTTCCTCCCAAAGCTTTCTGCCATGCATGGCCCTGAAGCTAAGAGTTGGGATTGTAAAATGTTTCAACCAGGGGAGAGAGGGGAGAAAATGTAGCATTTAATCTAAACTAGGAGATCTGGTCTTTGCGGTTGTCTATTTGCAGACTTGTGGACGTCTCCACAGGATCAAAGCAGGCCTGTACCCGACACAAAAAAAAAAAATTCTCTCTGACTCCAAATCAATATTTTCAAGTGTTTGCACAGGCCCCAACTAAAAACTCAAAGAAACATAATATCGCCTGCTATATAATTCCTGCCCGTCCTGTCGCATGATTCAACGAAAGCACCAGACTCTGAGATGTTTCCTTGAGAACTAGTATTAGCTGAGATTTCCAGTCACAGAGTGATAAAAAAAAATCCCTCCATGAAACTGTAAAATTGGATCGGACGCTGTTAATTTAAAAAAATCACACCAACATTTAGGGTAAAAATGTGGGAGTTTATGGGTAAATACCGCATCAGCTGCTCAAGTTTTGACTATTATTTGGAGAACTTCACTCTGAATCTTAATATCCCAGGGCAGGATATGGAGATTGGCTCAAGCCAAAGAGCAAAATTATTATAATTTAGAAAACCAAAGGAGGGTTGAGGATCGCAAATTTGTGTTGAGCTTGCTAGTGAAAGTGGACACACCCTTTCCTAAGAATATTGTGTTGCCGAGAGATGTTACTACACGGTTTAATTAGGTTAGCTCGAGGAGCTTGCGGACACAATAGTGTTATTTAGCTTTTCCTACTTCCTGAAAATTAACACGGTTTTATAATGTTATTATTTTTAAACCTTCCAGTTCACCCCCTTTTCTTCCTGCCTCTTTAAAGTCCATCCTTCCTCCATGTTGATCTCTCTAAGTAGCCCAATTAATTAGCCATAATAAAAATAAAAACCATTATATTGTGAAGGCCATATCTCCCTGGTCAAACAAAAAAGGCTTCACATTAAGACAGGCACTAATGCTAAGAAATTAAAATCTAGTACGGACGCGCGCGCGTGTGTATATATATGTATGTCTTATATGTATTTATATATACCCAGTATTAATTTGCTTGCTTTAAATGGGAGGAGGGGTGAAGAGAGGAGAAAAAATTACTAATATTAAAAAAAGAATTGTATAAACATGGCGACAGACGAGAGCATTTGCACTCGTCACAAAAATGCAACGCATTCCTGGTTGTTTGCAGAAAATTTACAGCTAAGCAATAAAAGTTTACGACTGAATCACAAGTTGGATTGGCCACAGGAAGTCATGTGGACTCCATCCATGAACGTGAACTTTTTATTGTGGTTTCTCTTATGACTCTTTCACAGTAGTCCTCCCTTTAACAGTCCAAGCAGTGCCAGGGATAGGATGGTATTTTTCCCCCACCTAATTATTAGCGTTATTATTATTTTTTTTAAAATCTAGATTTTTTTCCCTCCTTGGGGTTGGAATTGTTGGTTGCTTTGGGCGTTTTGGGAATAATGAGTTTACTGCTGCGTCTTGTTGCCGCCTCCTATTCTCCACCCCTAGGGGCAAAACGCAATACATTGCCTTTGGAGGATGCAATGATGAGGGGCACAAGGAGTTGTAAATACCTTTTTTTTTTAAAGAGAAAAAAATAGATGCCTTCCCAAGCTTCCCCCCAGCCCCTGTCCAACCAGAGAAGAACTATTTTGCTTTTGTTTTCCATCTTTTTTTTTTAAAAATCTTTCTGTGGAGCTGAGCTGCAGCGTCAGTGGAACAGAAAGAGAGAGAGAGAGAAAGAGAGAGAGAGAGAGAGAGAAAGAGTGGGAGAGGGGGAGACAGGCAACATTGGTAAGTGTTCCCTTATTGGCTAAAATGTGTAACTAATGATCCATAGCAATGGGTGTTAAAGATAATGATGCATCGTTTTGCGAGCGAGGGGTAGGCGAGGGGTGTAGCTTGGGTATGACAGAATATGGCCAGGATCGGCACAAATGTAGTTAATTCGGTGAAAAAAGGGTTTACGGGTGGTGATGTCACATTGGTGGGGAGCTGGTTTGCTGGAGACAGACAGAGATGCGTGCTGCAGTCTGCCTTTCCATTGACAATGGTGCAGTGTGAACAGGGGTGGTGCTGTGCTGGGGAAGGGGTGGAGGGGGGAGAGACTTACTGAAAGGCCTAAGAAAGCATCTGATCTACTGGTTAAACGAGAGGAAACCGAGAGGGCTCGGTTGGAACCTTGGCCGGGGGGGGGGGGGGGGGGGGAAGAGAAGAGCGAACCCGGAAGCGACATTTTCCATGAAAATGAAAAATAATCCCAGTCCAAACTTTTAATAAGAGGCAATCATTGACTATCTAGCGCACATGCGCAGTGTAGGCAGCCAGCCGCATCCAGGAAGCGCAGGAGCAAAGCCTTTTAGTGCCATTTTTAATGAGCAATTACGGGTTTGCTTCTATTTGTGTGCATCAGCCACGGGCTGGTTGGCCCAGCCCCCACGGGTTTCAACAAATGATTGAAATGGAGGCGGGGGGGGGGGGGGAAATGCCGCCTGCCCCCCTCAGAGTTTTTATTTTTAAGTACTTTTTAAATTTCGAGATCGTTCTTTTTTCACAAACTCCGCCTTCTGGTCCAAATAGTCTTTAAAAACATCATTACGGGCATTACATTCTAGTCTCTCGTCCCAGAAGGAACCATTTCAAATATTTCCTTCCACCCTCTGTTTTGTACAGTAATAACTTTCTTCTGGGATATTTTTATATTGGTTTTTATGTTGTCATGTTGTTGTTACTATTATAACATTGTTTAAAATTATGCTGATCTTTACATTTTATGCGGTCTTCAATTTCTCGCCTGTCTTTTAATTTCTCGGAATAATTTTTGTTCAGTTACAACATATACAATTTAAATTATAATCTCTTTACCTATGTTTCCCCCTCTTTCCCCTTCTCTCTCTCTCTCTCTCTCTCTCTCTCTCTCTCTCTCTCTCTCTCCCTCCATTCATTTGTTCACTCGTTCCAGAGAGAACAATATATGAGATGTGTATTGGTTTAATTTGAGAATGTATGTAATGTATTAGCTTAATTTCCTCGGAAGTATATATCTCTTTTCTCTCCTGACATGACAGCCCCTCATGGAAAAAGCATCTCTAGATTTGTAATAGAAATTCCTGTTGGTAAAAGTTACAGTACAAAACAATGTACCTAAATAACAACATGAAGTAAAAGATAAGCCAGACATTGTTGTGACTAAGGGTGGGATGGGGGAGGGGTGACAAAGACAATTCTTGCTTCCTGGCTCATTATAAATTACTACTGTTCCCCCTCCCCCCATATTAATACAGTATGTGGGAAAAGGCATCTAGAAAGGAGTCTGTGTTAAAGTTGATGCGATTGATTCGTAAACCGTGCCACTAGTGAAATATTTAGCGTTTTCTGCCCTTGAATAATAAACAAATAAATAAGTAAATAAACAAACAAATAAATAAATCGCCTCTTCTGTATTTCAGTCTCTCAGGAGACTACATGGGGGTTTATTATCTAACGTGATAAGTGTTTTGGAAGTTACCAGGAATGATTCTTAATTTTATTTCTATGTTTCTATGTGTGGTATATATTGCAATTTTTAAAAAAAAAAATAATAACATGTTTGTATCCTACTATCCTTCTAAAATTCATTTATCTATTCCCTGCATTTTATTCTGAAAATTATCTTCTTCTTTTGGTCTATTTAAACGACAACACCCCCGCCACCAAAATACTTTCGCTCTTGGGTAAACGCAAAGAGGTATTTTAATTTTTTTTAAAAAATGTTTCCCAGAGGCAATTTCTGCGACATACCTTTCGGAGACGTTTTTGTAAAAGGAAGAATAAATTGGATTATACTGAATTAAGTTGTTTTTTTGTTTTGTTTTGTTTTGTTTTTTAAAAGTAAGAGATACAATTTTGTCTTCGGTTTGTTCACTGAAAACACATTGTGTCAGCCGTTGGTCTGCAATCCCTATAGTCATAAAGACACTTTCTGAGCAAACAATGACTATTTATTGGAACCAGGTCATTACAGAAATAGTATCGTTTAGGGGTTCCAGACTAAATACATCTGCATTCTTCTCTTGAGTTGTGGTTAATGGGAACAAAAATCTGTTCCCTTTCCTTCGATATATTATTGCAGGAGTTGCATTTACTGTTTACAATAACTACTGTCAGCTCTGAAAGGCCTGGAATTGGGTATACAAAACAATTTTTGATGTATTGATTTTCTACTTAGGCTGACGGATTGTCATCGTTCATATACTGGCAATGCTGAGAAACATTTTAGTACGTATTGAAGGAATAACGTAATGATTTATATTCTCTGAGTTTTACAGACTAAAACAGAGGAAATAAATTGCTTCTTTTATCTATAGCATCAGTACGCAGGAGGGATTATAATAAAATAACCACGTGTTATTGACATATACTTGCAGAAAAATAACAGCTTTTCTACTGATATAGCTTGTATAAAAGTGTAGGATTCTACCACATTATTGAAATGCAAATTATGTTGTCGTAAATGTTAATATTTTAATTGTATTATAAATATATCAGATATGAGCATTTAGGCTCTAGCCTAAATATAATGAATAAAAATATTTGGGATAACATAATTTATATTTTAATGGGAAGACTTCACATTCTTAAACTATATATGTATATATTTTATCATCATTTTATCTAAGGATAGGATTATGATAAATCTTATTTTTATATATTTTATCTTATCGGTAAAATATGTAAAGATAAAATTATGACCTACATATAAAGATTATGCTAAATGGGTGTGTATATGTGTGTGTGTTGTTATGCAACGCTACAATGCTAAAAATACATTTTTATTATACCATTATAAACATACAAGTACAGTAATACTTGTAAAACAATTTACAGACTTTTGAAAATGGTAGCAACTGGGGGGAGGGAAGACGATGAATCAATGTAGCCCACACTTTATCCAGAAATAGTACGTGATATACAAATATATTATAAATTAACATTTGTGTTCAGTGTAAATTGTACCTGCGGTAATGTTAACTTCGATTTTCAATGTGGTTTGTATCTGGGTCATTACTACACGAATACATATTATTTTTCACTATATTTTTGTTTTTTTCTAAATTCTGTCCAGCAAATGCTTTTGAGAAACAATATTTGAGGCTAGTCATTTAAGATCTCTTTGCAGCAGACAAAATTAAAACTTTAGTGAATGTATATATATCATGTATAAAATGTATAAAAATCATGATTTTTCTCTAATTATTTTGTCTCCCAACATTCACTAAAGTTTATATATCAACTTAAAATGCATAATACTTAGGTATCAAAGAATACCTGTTCTTATCGGAGGAAAGTTAGATCTTTTGTTACCAGCTCTACTAAAAATAAAATAAATTAAATTAAAATAAAATAAAATCTCTTGAAGATTTCAGTTTAATCCTATGAATTTAAGGTTTGATCACAGAAGGCCTTGCTACATTTAAGCAGTTCAGAGCTTTGGGAAACAAAGTGATGCTAAACAATGTATCTCTATAGATAATGTGTCCACTTTATAGTTAAATAAAATACAATGCGGATATAGCTCCAATAAGTTTCTAGACAGAAAAGTAGATCAATAGATTAAAGCTAATATGATTGCAAGTATATATGAGAAATATCGTTGTCAAAGTGTATGTACAAGCCGAGACAGAACTTTAGACATCTCAGTACGTATTCAATTATCCACAGAAACCAGAAGAAAATAGCTGACAAGCAAGAATCTCAAAGAGTAAAAGGTAAACTGGTGTTTAAATTCATATGAATCTGAGATTACATACAGTGTTTCCAGTTTCTGGTTTTGTTTTTGTTTGTCGCATGTGGACACACCTTTCTGGAAAAGTCTAAGCAAGAATCTGGTTCGGTTTGGTCAGTTTAAGAATGTTGATTTCCCAGGGGCAAAAACCAACCCAAACCCCATGTATATTTCTAGCGTCGAAATAATATGTGTTTCCTAGATCTATGTTGTACAATTACTATTGTTTCCACAGGTAGAGAATTTCTTTCCTCCTTTCATTCTGAGCGAGTGTTTAAATATCTGCACATTTTGTTTACTTGTTTTGTATACTGCCACCAAGTGACAGAAACTTGCAAACCAGAAATTTTGCAATTTGGTGCCTTTTTGTGGGGGTGGGGAGGTGGGGTGAGGTGGGGAGGAGTGGGCAAAATACCCTTACTTGACTACTTGCAAAATGCTGGACTACAATAAAGGCCGGATTTGCAAGGAAGTTTTAGTACCTTAAAAGAGTCAGCAATGTCTCTCTCCCCACCTCCCCTGGAACGTCCATAAACGGCCCCCTATTAAGGTATTAGCTGAACAGTACTTCAAAAAGTTTGGCCTCTAAAACCTATTTGAAATTCCTCCGATGCACTTTATACCCATTCACTAGAAGTTTTCTTTTTTTTCTTTCTTTTTTTAAAGCCCCTTTCGTTCCCTATTCCCGTGTTTTAAATCATTCCAATGTACGTGAACTCATAAAAATAGATAAGGCATGTCAACTTGGGAACGATATTTCCCCTCTTGAAAATATGAGTGTATTTAAGCAAATCCTGGAATATTAAATTGTAGCTCGATTAAAGACAATGTAAATGTATAAATTCAACAAAGTGCACAGAGGTTGTCTCCAAATATATAGTTTAATTCTGTCTAAGTGATCGCCTCTGAAAAAGCATCATTAAGGCAACTAATATTGTTTCCTGAATTATTATTTTTTACTTGCGACCTAAGATTAAATTTCTGCTTTAGAATCTGCGAACAATAAAATATAAAGCTGCCTATAGTTAAT